TTATTTCTTCTTTTGTCTTCCCTAACTCTTATGACTTGTCTTCCTTCAAAAAACTGATATATCGTCATCTCATGGCTTATCCTGCTATATCCCTAGGTCCTCATTTCTTGCATTCTATTCCGCATTAAATACTTATTGGAAAGGGTTAACCGTCAAAGATCAATGGACCCGAGTTCAGTTCCCTTTAGCGTAGCGGATTGCATAGATACCCGCTAAAAGCGGTTTAGGAAAAATGAAAGTACTGTTGCTTGCGTATTCTGTAACACTAGCTGATACCAACTCAGCAGTGTGTTTGAGTACACAATCACTGGGTTAGGTTAAAAGTGGAAGCGTCGCCTTTGTTCTTGGGTTCAAGGCTTTGATAAGGGTACCCTCTCCAGCGGTTCTCTGAGAAGAAAAATATTCTTTGACATAAATGTATGGACAATGTTAATTGTATTCGTAATAATAATAATAATAGTTGAAATAATAATAATGATAATAATAATAATAATAATAATAATAATAATAATAATAATAATAATAATAATAATAATAATAATAATAATAATAATAATAATAATAATAATAATAATAATAATAATAATAATAATAAAAATAAATAATAATAATAATAATAATAATAATAATAATAATAATAATAATAATAATAATAATAATAATACGAATTATACTCATTTTTTTTTTTTTTTTTTTTTAATATCTGGCATGGGAGAGATGGAATGGAAATGTGTGGGTTTTTTTTTAATGTGTTTGACCGGCAGCACCTCCAAAATGGAATAGGCATTTTGGAGGGGCTCAACGAAACTGAAATTTGGAGATTTACGTCAATGACGACGACTCCATTTAATTTCCTCTCGACGTCCTTCGTGTGTCAGATACATCTCTCTCTCTCTCTCTCTCTCTCTCTCTCTCTCTCTCTCTCTCTCTCTCTCTCTCTCTCTCTCTCTCTGATATATGTAAACATGATATAAAATGTTACTAAGATCTCTCTCTCTCTCTCTCTCTCTCTCTCTCTCTCTCTCTCTCTCTCTCTCTCTCTCTCTCTCTCTCTCTCTCTCTCTCTCTCTCTCTCTCTCTCTATATATATATATATATATATATATATATATATATATATATATATATATATATATATATATACACAATATATATATATATATATATATATATATATATATATATATCTATATATATATATATATATATATATATATATATATATATATATATACACACATATATATATATATATATATATATATATATATATATATATATATATATATATATAACACACAATATAATATATATATATATATATATATATATATATATATATATATATATATATATATATATATATATATATACACACACACACGTATTTGCGGTATTTGCACTTAAATCCTTTGACTAATCTTTTGTAAACAAACGCACACATGCACCTTAGAGCACAAACAGAGTCATACATCAAACATTTGACTGTTTTAACTTTTTTTTTTTCATAGTCGTGTTTTAATTTTATATTACTTTTGTAAGAATATAAATGACGGATTTGTTTATTGATGCTTCGTCCGTGTTTTTTGGGAGCTCGTTCACAATAAAGATGTTGGTCATTTGTGTTTTAGTTTTGAATATCTTAGTTACTTTAATCGTATTTAATTTATTAATTTATATCTATGCTTATTATTTTTGTCTAGTTATATATTCATAATTTATTAATTCACTCATTATTTGTTGATGTATATTTATTTATTTATTTATTTTAATTTCTTCTAATCACTGCAGACTTACGTAGGTTACGTTGTGTAGTATGACTACCTTCAAAAAAAAAAATCGAGTATTGTCCAGCATAAACAAAATATTTTTTGTGAAATCGTCTCGAAAGTTAACAAAATATCGAGATACAGTAACGACTGCTTTTTCGTCTCATGGAAAAAAAAGAAACTCAGGATCATTGCTGGACAAGTCATTAGCAACAGTAATTAGTATAATTAATGGCTTTTGCCTCGAGGTGGTGATGAGCGTGGAAGATCAAAAGGAACGAGCTGGAAGAAAGATGAAAAAGGCCAAATAGCTCAAGAGATTCCTCGAAACTATAAAGGAAAATGAATCATAAATGTGTCTCGTGAAGAACAGTCAAAGGGTGATGGTGAGAGAGGGGGGGGGGGAAAGGTGAAGATGTTTGTTTCCGCCTTATTTATTTGTCTTTAGTAACCCTGTCATGAGGCTGGACACAGATAGGTTGGAGTTGGGGAATTAACGCTAGATGCCCTTACTAACTGCTCCTGGTGGGGTCCATCGCAGGTCTGTAACCATTGCGCTACCGCGGTACCCAAAATGAGGTAAAGAAAGGCGTTTCATATAGAATTGCGTGCAAGTGTATACATCACACGTGTTGTATCCGACAGGATAGATGAAATGTTGCAATATGAAATCAGATTGAGATTATCAACATCTTTGTTAAATGAAAAACACGGTCTTGAAATCATGCACAATTCTTTTTATTTTTTCTTCTTTCTTTCTTTCTTTCTTTTATGAACTTAGCACCGGGACAGCGAAAAATTGCCCCCATCAGGCCCAGGCACCAAAAACATTGAAACGAAGAAAAAGTAGAAGCTTAAGGCCAAGGCAGAAGTAAGGGAATGATGCACTATAAGAAAAGGACTGGCTGAAAAAATAGTTGGTACTGAGGATCTAGAGATATGACTGAATTAGGCCCTGAGATGACGATAGATCCGTTTTTGAAGGAAGATAGGTTATAAGAGTTAGGAAAGATAAAAGGAGGAAGAGAGTTCCAGAGTGTGAAAGTGGATAGGAAGAGGCAGACGATGTACTTACCAATCCTCGAGCTACAAATCTCTACACAGTACCTGTGAGACGCAGAAAACAGACTCTAATATTGATTTTATTTATATGAAAAAGTATATGATTACGAATTATAAAGATCATTTTAGTTCTAATGTTTCGTAAGCGGGTGAAAGTCTTATAAGGATATTTCCATGACAATGAATTGTCTTACACTGTCTTGTATATTAAAGAGTAACATCTTGTTAATTATTTTTACTCTAAATTATAAAAATAAATCAATATAATGGCCAATTTAAAGTAAAAACATGCTTACATATAAAATAGTTTTTTCAATTATTGCTTTAAAATATATATAGCAGTGCAGTTTTTTAGGGGACTGGACGTACACGAATCTGCAAGCGAGAGATGTGAGAGACTCTCCATGACTCTGTTAATTTGTTATCCTGAGTAATCTTTCTCCTTTCCATCTATGGATTCACCTTGTCGAACTCTGGCTCCAGCTGCTTGACTGTAATCCTGTTTTACTTCTTCGTATTGAAAAGAGGTCTGTGCATGTGTGTGTGTGTGTGTGTGTGTGGTGTGTGTGTGTGTGTGTGTGTGTGTGTGTGTGTGTGTGTGTGTGTGTGTATGTGTGTGTGTGTGTACTCTACCACCACCAGCTTCAAAAGAGCTTTGCAAAAGCGGATTTTCTGCTGTTGATCACGGCGTGATTTTTGGATGTTGAGATGTTTTGTTTTGCACGATATTTTAATTTTCGTCAGTTATTTAGTTTTATTAAAAGATTTGTATTTTATAAATAGAAATATAAGGTTTGGGATGCATAGATGTGTGTTTTGCGTGTTATTTTAGTTTTCTTTAGTGTTCTTCTTTCAGAAGTATGCGGTCACTGATAAGAAATCGCTAAAGTACCTGACCTGCCAACTCCATAATCGAGAAGTCACATTACATCTCCTTGAGCACAGTGTTTAGCGTTCGATTACATCAGCAAGCCATCATAAACGAAAATGTATGATGGCTTGATCAGCTAACGAATATATTTCTACTAGATCATGAGATTATTACCGAAAGGACACGAATAAAGTCAAAAGACGCGATATCTTTATTTTTTTTTTTTGGGGGGGGGGGCACAGAGCAGTATTACTGGCTTGTTATTTTTGCTTACTCTCTGAGCTAGTGTTGTTATTTGGTCTTCACTATTATTATTATTATTATTATTATTATTATTATTATTATTATTATTATTATTATTATTATTATTATTATTGCTATTATTATTATTATTATTATTATTATTATTATTATTATTATTATTATTATTATTATAATTATTTTTATTATTATTATTATTATTATTATTATTATTATTATTATTATTATTGTTATTATTATTATTATTATTATTATTATTATTATTAGTACTATTATTATTATCATTATTATTTTTATTATTATTATTATTATTATTATTATTATTATTATTATTATTATTATTATTATTACTATTATTATTATTATTATTATTATTATTATTATTATTATTATTATTATTATTATTATTATCATTATTATTTTATTATTATTATTATTATTATTATTATTATTATTATTATTATTACTATTATTATTATTATTATTATTATTATTATTATTATTATTATTATTATTATTATTATTATTCTTATTCTTTTACAGCCAGATGCTCTTCCTGACATCAACCTTCTTCATTCATATTGGGGAACCGGGACCGAGTTGAGCTGGCTTGCTCCCCGGGTGGTTGATATATGATAGTGTATATGTTTGGAAAAAATAATAACTGAAAGAACGATATTTCTCTTTTTAATGACGAGAGAACGTGCACGAGTAGCATGTGTCATTTGTGAGCCCCCTTTTCTTCTGTGGAAATGGTAGGCACTGATGCAACCAATCGAATCAGGACCTAGAATGAGGCTGCATGCCCTTTGGAGTTCTATTTAATGCACAATATTATATCAACTGAAGTGCATCTTGTATACGTCTAGACTGAACGGACATTTATTCTTAATGAGTTGGCTGGGCGTTTATGCTAGACCTTGAAACAATACCATTCCTGAATTGCGACCCAGAACGATCGACTAAATGCCAGCTATCTGCTCATGCTGATAGGCAAACAGAGGCAGCTGGATCAAGAGAAATTGAGTTAAGAGTCTCTTCCTCGCCCAGGATTCGAACCCGAAATCACGCGGTTGTAAGCCGAGGGTGCTACCGTTTACATCACGAGGAAACCATAGTGTTGATATTTGCATTATTCTTTGCAAGTTACTCTATTTAGATTTAAGTCAAAATTGCCAATAAAGTAAATAGACCCCTATGCACATAAGCCCAAATCCCATTTGTAAAGGTAATTTTCGTCTCAAAGCTTACTAGGATTCTGATTGGGGTTTTCCCACTAGAACCCCCTCGTATGCCCTGACTCTTTTGGAGAAAATATAACTGGGGAATTCCTCATCCCCATGCGCCACCCGTTTAGTGGACTTTTACTTTTCGAAGGGGAGCACGAAGGCAGTATTATGTTCTCATTCCCAGGAGGGAGAGAGATAAAATACAAAGTAAGAAAATGAACTATGGGAGGCAGAGGACACCCAACCTCGGCAAACAGTACACCGTTCCCTCCATCGTTCCCGCGAGTCAGAATTCCCCTCTCTCTCTCTCTCTCTCTCTCTCTCTCTCTCTCTCTCTCTCTCTCTCTCTCTCTCTCTCTCTCTCTCTCTCTCTAAAAAAAAAAATGGACTAGGAAACTTTTTATCTCCGCTTCATCTTGTCAGCTGAAAGACCTTTCCTGACCCCGAGGCATCGAGGTGTGAGGTCACTGAAGGGAAAGGAACTGAATTCCTTTACTTCCTGACCACAGAGAATATATGTAGACTTATGCGGACGTACACATATTCAGGCTGTCATATACATGTGTGTTATTTTTTTATTTTTTTTCAATTATAAGATGCAGATGTGAATGAAAATTTGTGATGCTCGTATATATATATATATATATATATATATATATATATATATATATATATATATATATATATATATATATATATATATATATATATATATATATATATATATATATATATACATATATATATATATTTGTATGTATGTATGTATGTGTGTGTGTGTATGTGTGTTTTTTTTTTTTTTTGCGCGCGTAACCATGTACAAATATATCTATGTTTATCCAATTATGAGGGAATAAAAGGAAATAAAGAGCTGGATAACATTTCTCTCTCTCTCTCTCTCTCTCTCTCTCTCTCTCTCTCTCTCTCTCTCTCTCTCTCAAATTTGCAGAACCATATTTCTATGAGATAAGTGTTACAAATACAGTGAATGTAGTTTATCAATGAGACGCCATGTATAATATTTATGTATGGATGATATTGATAGATTTGGTGCTAACTAAACTGCCGGTACATACTATTGCAACATTACAGAAGGGTGAAAATAACTCTAGTTTAAAGATATGACAATGCAAAGAAACTAAAATATGGAATTGCGAAGAGATGCCTGGTATTCCAAGGTTCAAATCATCAATATGTTCCGGTTTTACGTCACGGACTCCCTTTTCAACCAAGGGCTAGGACGGTTGCCTTCTTTCGAAAGACATGTTTTGGCAGATGTAATCGTTACCCTGAGTGCATCAGCGTCATATTTCGAATATCAGATATCTCTCCAGTCAGAGGAGTGCAAGCAACGCAACCAACGAACTACATATGAACTACAGCTAGGACACGGTAATGTTACCTGAACTAATAAGTATTATTATGGGAGATATTAAGAAACAAAGCTGCATAAGAATTAATTTGATATAATTAAAAAGTATCTCGCGTTAGAAATTATAATTGAGAGAAATAGAGCAACCATCTTGAATATGACTTCTTTTTTTTTTTTTTTTACTAAACAATGCGAAGATTAATCTTAGTATGGGGACTTCGATGGAAACTTATATTTTTTTATAGAAACAACTGATACCAAGAATAAACACTAGATATAGAATGAGCTAAGCTTTAACAGAAAACTGAGCCCTTGAAGCACTAAATACTGCTTCAGCAGATGTAGAAAACAATTGAAAACAGGTGTTCCTTCTACACCACATGCTTCAGCAACTCAACTTTGATATTTATGTACATAAAAGAGAAATATTTCTGTTATTAATCTTAAGGTCAGGTACAGCCGTAACATGTGTCTTCGTTTATGTCAGAGGAAGGTACACTAGTGGTATGTGTCATCTGTCAAGGGAAGATGCAGCCGTAGCATGTGTCATTTATGTCAATAGAAAGTACACTCATAGCATGTGTCATCTCTTAGTCCCCGTCAACTAATCAGGTTTATTAAGTGTACCTTTGGAGATGATAAATTCTTTATCTCGGTATACATTAGGTCAAGCCAACTATAGAGCGACTTTGGAGAGTTGCAGTCTTTAGATTGACAGGAATGGAGAAATCTGTTGGTGTCTTTCATTTATGGATCTAAAGGTTATACATCACACAATGCTAATTAAAAATCCAATTTTGAGAACAGGAAACTGACTGTCAGCACTTACTTTCATGCTCATTACAGAGAGTTATTTGAATTCACGAGATAGTAAGGCCGCATACGTAAAGGGATTTGACTTAATCAGGAATGCAGGAGCTCACCGAGATTATTCAT